TTTCAAAGGGAGCTTGTAAAATCCTGAAGGTGCGTGACGCAAGAACACATTAACATTCGCCCAACTTCTCGAAAAGTTACGGAAGAAGTATGATATCCATTTGATTTGATATGAAGTACAACCCTGGTGTACACTTTCTAGATGCATCTCTTAAATGTTTTCGACATGACGTAGTGTATGTGTTGCTCTCACACGAGTCGGGTTCTCTCTTCAGCCATTCCACTTGACAATCAATGTTCCAGGGAAAACACTGTCCTCGCTTTCACTATTCACATCGCACATACACAATGACAGCTCCTTTTGGTGCATCCAGTTTAGTCCACTCTCCAAATGATGAGCATGGAACAGTTACATTCAATAAATAGGACTACTTGGGGCGCATTCAGATGCTCGATATATGACCAGTAATTCATCAGTCCTTTGTTTGACATTGTGTCTCTTGTTGATGGGAGCGGAGCAGCATCGGAAAACATGTTGAATGTTTCATATCATCAGTCAGTTTTGTTGAAAGAAAACTACCAATAAATATTAAGCAAATCCACATAACAATGTTATTGATCCACGTGAACAGCCCACTCGCTGAATTTATCTTCGTTAATGAAATAGATCCGCGTTCCAAATGAAATTGTTTTATGGGACGAAATAGAGACGAGCATCCAAAGGCAACTTCGAGTCAAATCATTGGTCGAGTAAACACAAAGGGCCTCACGTGACTCGATGCATGAATGCGTGACTCAGTGCGTGACCCAACTTGCCCCCAGTTTTATTCAAGTGCCCTCTTGCGGACACAAATGTGACCCCACGAGCATAAATATGACCCATCGAGATAAACACGATCACGAAACTTGCCCCCAAAAAATCGGATATTTTTTTTTTTCAGTAACCATTTCCCAAAATGGTACAGTAGAGCTCTGATGAATACGAATATGAAAACCATGCCCCAAACCCTGAAAATGCGCCCTGAAAATGGGCACATACAAATAATGCGTACTTTGTGTAATGGCCCATTTTGAAGAGCGCCCCCTATTTTTTGAAAATGGTACAACATCCACCACATCCCCCTTCTCCCCCTTCTCCCGTTGTTTGCGGTCGTTATCTGATCGATGGCGGCGGGAGACATGGCCCGTTTGATCTGTGCTTGTGCTAAACTCCTTCTTTTCCTACCTCCATGGTAAGACAAATACATTGGTCGTTCATTCAAATAGTCTCATGAGGGAGCTCTGTGACAAGCCAGAACCAGGGCCCAAGATGGCATTTGCAGGCGCTGTGTAGGAGAAACTGTCATCGAGTTATTAATAACAAGTAATGTCACCTACAGGTAATATTACTGAGCAAAGGAGGGCAGTGTTGGGACGTCGTTGCCAAGGGCGGATCCACGGGGGGGGGGGGCAAAGGGGGCCATGGCCCCCCAAAAAAGAAACCAATTTTTTTTTTTATGTGACATCGCAATAAAGGCAGGCAATGAGTACACCACCATCTTTTCCTAGAAAAGCATTGGTTAAAGTGGTCAGAAATTGCCTCAGATCGCACCACAGAGCATCTAGAATCAAAAAAAAAATTCGGGGCCCTTAGGCGGGCCCCGAACCCCACGCCGTAATTTTTTTGGCCCACTTTTTGGGGGGACCCAAAATTTTTTTGCCCCCCCCAAAAAAAAATTGTGTTCTGGATCCGCCCTTGGTCGTTGCAGAGGTACAAACCATAGACATTTATCAGAAGTCTACGGTACAAACAGATGCGAATGACATGTTGATGATCTACATGTAAAACGTTATTCACGTTGCCACAAAATACTACAGTTTGCAGTGTTTAATGTAACTAAAGTTGTTACAATGCTTCTATTAACTTGAAGTGTTTTCTGTTTGTAATAGGGACGGCGTCATTATGCCTTCACTTTCCACAGTAATCAAGTTGAACAGTACCGCTGTGGCATTTTACAGATGAAGCTGACCGCATTACCGCATTTGTAGTCGTTCCAGTTGGCTGCGGTGTGCAGGGTCGCACAGTCCTCGTTCCCAGAGTTGTCGGGTTGATATGACCGCCAGAGGCTGAGTGTGAAAGGCGACCCGTCCAGCCACACCCAATTGTCCTCAAAGGCTGCATCCGTCAGGCCGATCCAGGCATAGCTGGCCGTACCAGACTGCTGAATCAACTCCGCGAGGAACAAGGACTCTGCCGCGTCCAGCACCGAGGCCAGGTAGGACGGCCGGCCGGCGGGTAGGCCCCGGGCGACGCAGATTCTCTCCGCGGTGTTGAAACTCAACGGCTGCGGCACGTAGAGGTAGCAGTGCTGGCCGTGAGCAGTCCAACCATCGGGGCAGAGGCACCGCGAATACACGGTGGGCTGAACGATTAGAACAGCCAGTAAGATGGTGATGTTTATCGAAGAAATGGACATTTTCAAGCCAAACAAGTAGTGCCTCATACAACTGTTTTCAATTCTTGAGCGTAACTCTTGTAAAAAGGCTGGCAAAACCGGGTTGGCGGCAGGCCTCTGTCTTAATGATGCGTGGCGTAGGTGCTCAGTGAAGCTCAAGTTTTGCTTGATATAAAGACGGAAAAAAACATCATCATTCGTTCTTCTTCTAGAAGAGACGTGGATGTAGTAAAATCTCCATTTGATTTGAGTTGAAGTCACGTTTAATTCCGTACTAGATTTGTTTTCAACCCGGATGTACATGTACCACTTTCTAGATGAACAATGCAACTTTTAAATGTCTCCGATGTCAAGTAAAGTTTGGTTCCTCTCAGACGAATCAGGTTCTCTCTTCAGCTATTTCACCTCATAATCAACATCCCATCCTCCCAGGTAGTAAACTGCTCTCGATTTCACCACTTATATCGCATAATACAGAGTGACATTTTTGCTGCATGCAATGTATTCCAAAATGGCATCTCCTTATGATACGCCTGGAAGAGTTATCAATCGATGTATACTTGGGGCGCACTGAAATGTTCGATGTCTAAAACCAATCATTCACTGGCCCTTTGTTTGCAGTTGTATATTGTGATGGGAACGGAACAGCATTGGGAAACACACTGAATATTTCATTCCATCAGTCAATTTTGGGGGAAGAATTAGCAATAAATATTACAAGCAAAATCATTAGTATTGATGCGCGTGAGCAACCAACCCGCTGAATGGACCTTTGTAATAAATTCTATTGATCCTTGTTTACACTAATACCATTGGTTTTTCATGAGAAGAAAAGAGACGAATTTTCAAAGGCAATTTCGAGCGAGAATCATTGATCGCAAGCAATAATAATAGTCTGAGTATCATCCGTTATCAACAGAGCCAAGTCTCCTGTATAACGTCATATATGTCTAAACATACAGATCAGTGTTGAAGTCGATTGCTTTTTTCCGAGTTCCGAGTACTGCCGAGTACTTAGGTTGCCGATACGAGTACAAATACGAGTGCTGTACTTCCGAGTCCAAGAACAGGTATCCGAGTACGAGTACTTGTGCTTCCGAAAACGAGTACGAGTACTGAACTTCCGAGTACTAGTAAGAGTACAAGTACTTGTATTTCCGAACACGGCCATAAGGCAAATGGTGCGTAATTGGCACAGGCCCATCCAGACCGATATACAGACCCAATCACGGCTAGCTGTTATATGTGCTTGTCCGGACACTTACAGAGGGAAATCAGGAAACTTTGACTTCTCCACAGGCCAAGCAACCATTTCAAACTGAACGTATCGATAAAATAAGGCCATGGTATAAAGTTAAGCTTTACCAGTTTTCCCCCGAATACTGCTATTCGAGTACGAGTACTTTGATGATCGAGTACAATGTTGACATGTCGAGTACGAGTACTTGCTGCCCGAGTACGATTACCGTCATTTCAAGTACGAGTACTTTGACGTTCGAGTACGAACACGGGTGCGACCAAACAAGTACTCGAGTAGTTCTCGAGTACGAGTACCGAGTACGAGTACTACAACGCTGATGCAGATATATGTAAGCCGCGCGCCAGCCAATTGGTTATAATCTACAGGTCAAGGTGAAGTTGTATTGCCTGATTAATCAGCAATCAGTTCATATGTAATAGACCGTGGCTTTCGCCGCTTTCGCCACGGTGTATTAGACTAGCTGTTCCATTGCTAGAGGGAAGAAACCATCCTTAAGGTTAAAAAAGGTCCATATTGTGATGTTTATCAGAAGGGAATTTTTCATACAATATAACAAGTTATGTACGAGATCACCGGCTGTATTGATCGTAGACTGGTTCTTAGTAAGGTACCTGGACTTCGACAACCGGCACTAATGCTTTTGCAACACGTATTTATGGCGTAACTGCAAGTGTTCGCTGGGAGCACTGATCAATATACTGACTGGATAGCGTACAGAGGATCGCTGCAGAAGAAAGTCATTTGAAGCCATGATGGAGATACCGTATGGTGTTCTATAGAGAACAACTTGCCCTCTGATTGGATCTGTTCTCAAACGTTGTAGGATTCACTTTTGCAGCATCATGGTTCACCTGATCACCATTTGTCCTCCACCCGTTCAAAGATTTTTTTTCAAACGTTTGTAGTTTGCTTTCTGAATGTCCCAGTTCATTTTTTTGCGAAGGTTGGAAATAGAATCAAGTCGAAAAATGTTCCCTTCAGAACATCATACTTTGTTATATCGTGTGCTTGAATACTGTAATTTTAACGGTCTGGGACGGCCACGTGTCTAAACAATAGAAAATGCATGTCACACACAAAGGGTGATATGCGTTCGCGTTAAGTTAATATTCTGCTTCACCCAATAGGCCATTATCACGTCACGGCCATTTTTTTTTCTCATTTAAATCAACGTAAACAAAGCGAGGCTGGAAGCAAATATAGTATGGTTCCTATTTGCACAAAAAAACATTGTCATTCAGTACTGTGATTGGATACAGGGGATATGACTGAAATGGTGGCAGCATGATAAAAGTTTATAGAATGGTACTATGAATTGGATGCATCGTTATACATGTATTACTACACATCCAAACCCATCACAAATCCAACTTAGTTAATTAGTGCTGATGAAGAGTCTTACGACCTTCAAGCAACTAACCCTATCACAAATTACCGTGCACGAAGGGAAGCTTGACTAATGAAAGCCTCACGCACAGCCATAACACGCGCATTAATCTCTTTTATATCCATTCGGTTGGAACTAACACTTTTATACTAGTTACCATGACAACTAGATGAATCCTCATCAACAACAGATGCTTGTTTGTTTCGCCGCTTGATAACTGGGGCACAGTAGCTGCAATGCAACACTGGCGCGCATCTGTGTTGGCAAAATTGATCACAAATCACTTTGAGAATCTTCTAAATCTCTCTCTGCCAGTTATATGCACGTTTGTACCTACAATCTGTCCGATTCTGCATTATTCAACTTCAGCAAGTTCGTTGTAAAGACCTGTTTTGACACTGACTTTGAATGGAATCTGCGTCCATTGAAAAAAAGGGAATTTCATTCGGTCATTTTGACTTTGTATTAGGTATGGGTGTCTAAACAAGTGCAAAAACCGTCGACGAAGTTAACTAGCACTGCGTAGGTAGGAAGGTGATCAGTTCAAATTTCAAGATTCATACCACAATATGAGTCCAGCAGGGATTTTTCTGATTCTTCTCGTGAAAAGCTGCCATGCCCAGTGTCGACATTGGTTGACTCCCGAGTTCCACTTTGCAAGTAATCGAATCCTGCAGGGTCATGTGTTTCAGACGAAGACTGTATCTTCTGCTGTGGGCTGTGGGCGAGACTGCTCTATGGACCAACAGTGTGCATCATTCAATTACAATGCAAGCAGCCATCTTTGTGAGCTCAACAATAAAACAAGACTCCAGAGCCCATGTACCTTCGTAGAGAAGCAAGGAGTTTTCTACTTTGAAGGCAAGAAAACTTCAGCAGGTGCAGGTAAGATATGGATTCACTACAAAACAGTCTCGTTCAAATGTTTGCATATTATAAAAAAAAATCTCTTTTGATCAAAATAGGCACAAGTAATTACATAATCGATTGAACGAGTAGTCTGCGTATCACCCATTATCCACGGAGGCAAGTCCTGTATCACGTCTGATATGTCTAGACATTATGCAAGCCGCGCTCTTTTCACGCTCCGGCTATGAAAATAGCCGGTTTTGTGATCTGATGCCCGACACAGGAATCACTGAACCGGCTATTTTCCTTGTGTAAACTTGCCAGATCGAGGCTGTGCATGCCTATGGCGGAAGCGTGAAAAGAGCGAATTGGAGTCCACTTTACTAAATCGTGACGTCATTTCATTCCCAAATCAGAACTAAATGGTTTGATTGGTCAATTCGAATGCAGTGTTTTGTAATACAACAGCCGGGCGCAGTATCGCGTAACATGATCCACAGCGCGTGACACAGGTTTTTGTTTATCCATTGTCTATGAAGTGCAACGGTGAATTACCGGAAACCCATTATAGAAAGCGCCCGCTGATTGGTAAAAATCTACGAGATCAAGAGGTGGGGTCTTGCCTAATTAATCAGTGAATCTGCTCGCATATTATAGACCATTGGATGAGTGGATACTTACGGTTTTTATAACTCACAACCGCTTGTAATGCCCGCCATTGTGGCAAATGTTGTAGAACAAATCTTGAAGTTCTCCAAAGGTCTAATTTACACGAAATATTTGGTTTCTTATATTTACAAAATAATGTTTTACAGATGGTTCTCGGGCGTTTAGCATCGTTGGTCAGCCGGCCCAACAAAGTTCAAATTACACCAACTGGTTTGCTGGTAAGGCAGTGGACGGCAGTAGTTCAACAACCAAGAATTATTGTTCGCACACCCGTAAGTCAGATGAGCCTTTATGAAATTTGGCTTGGAAAGGCCCGGGGGTGGGGGAGCGAAAGTAATTTCCATTGCAACTTCCTGCGAGGTGGTGGTAAACGATAATAATAATTGAAATATAAATTAGCTCGGTATTGGAAAATAGAATCCCTTGACACATCAAAGTGTTTCGACGTTTGGAAACAAATCAAGTCAAAATGCATATTTTCCTCACGAATAACTTAACTCATTATTGGAGGGAGAAAAATGCATGGGTTCTTGGCATTGATTAAAACCAGTCAAAAATTGTTTTTAATAAAAAATAAATTAAAAAAAACCCAATAAGCGCTGATTTCTCACAAGCGACTTTGTATTTAAATTGTCTTGACCCTTTCTTTCTGGGGTCAAAATAGTTGACGAACAGGCTCCGTGGTGGAGAGTCGATCTTGGAGAGGACCACTGCATCAGCAAAGTCCGAATTCTGAATCGTGCAGGCAGCACCAGTAAGTCATGAGCATTACAACTATCAGGACCTGGGAGTTTGGGGTCTTAATTCTTGGGGCTGCCCGAAGGTTGGGTTGTCTGAATTTAGAATACGTTTAATTAGTCCGAAGGCTCAAAGATAAGGTTCACTAGTCCGAAGGTTCATTATTCCAAATTGAAAATGAGGATCGATAGTCCGAAAAAAACTGTAAGGTTCGATAACCCAATAGTCCGAATTGTCAATAAGGTCAGATAATCCGAAGCGTCTGACGAACCGTATTAACCATTCGGACCGTCGGACCTTATTGGCAATTCGGACTATTGAACCTTATTGTCCATTCGGACTATCGAACCATATTGTCCTTTTGGACTGTCGAACATTATTGTCGATTCGGACTTTCGAACCTTATTGTCCTTTTGGACTGTCGAACATTATTGTCGATTCGGACTTTCGAATCCTGTCGTCTATTCGGACTATCGAACCTTCGGATTATTGAACCTTATTCTATTTTCGGACTTATTGGCTCTTCGGACCATCGAACCTTCAAACTATCGAACCTTCGGACTATTGAACCTTCAGACTAACGAACCTTTGGACTAACGACCATTCGGACTGACGAACCTTCGGACTAACAAACCTAAAGACAGTCTGACTGTAACCTTAATTCTTAGGACTGGGGAGACATTACCCCCACCGTAGTTGCTTATTCTTTGGCCGATTTCCCCAATAAGATACAGAAGTGCCTATAATTCAGGAGCCTATTTCATCATTATCTTCACGTGGTCAATGTGCAATAACTGCACGACAATGGATATTTCTAGAAAGCTTGTACAATACCAATTAAATGCACTCAAAATTTGCTACGTACATTCCTTGAGTCATTACAGTAATTCAAGTCATCTACAGGATAGACAAAGTTTATAGTTTATGCAGTAGCCGCTACTATGTACATCAGATTCGAACCAGCCAACCGATCCCGTTAGCTCGGTGGTCGAGTGGTAAGACATCTGCACTAGAAAGCAGGAGGTCGTGGGTTCGAGTCCCACCCGAGTGATTTTTTTCCAACTCTCACTCGGGAGGTTACACCATTAGTATACAGTGTTTAAACGTCCGTGCAGGGCAAAACCTAAATTGATTTATATCACCCCGACGCAAAATTCAATCTTATAAAAGTTAATTTTGTAGGAAAAATATTTGTCGGTATATGAATTCGTCAAAAAATTACGGCATCCATTTTCGACGAGAAAGAGTCACAATAAAAATGCACTGCCAAGCGCCGGTTTCTGTAACACACTATCAACATGGAATGTCGGAAACGCTTTCGAAGCCGACAACATGTCTTAAACGTGTGTGGAGTTTTAAACCAAATGTGTGGATACCTTTCAATTGTGTAGGCCGTCGATTGACAGGCGCGGTTGTTCGCGCTGGTGACAACACCACTGTCACCAACAACCCGACTTGTGGTTCACCTGTCACCGCTGCCCAAGCCAAGCCAAGCGGTGGCACCATCGAGTTTGATTGCTGTCCGGAGTTGAGGGCGCGCTACATCAGCGTGGATATCCCCAGCAAGAGCATCTTGCAGCTTTGCGAGGTCACGGTGGAGGAAATACCCATTGACCACTGCCCGGGTAAGAGCAGTGGCGAATGAGCTAGCCTTAGTCAAGTCCTACGCGCTTACCCGGACGCGTGACGCACCCCGGATGCTGACACGTAAAAAGACTAGGACGAGCTGCGGCGTAGCCGCGAGGGCCTTTACCATCTCGTGGATAACGCTTATGTTTTTCTTTACATTTGTCTACCGATTTGGTAGACATGCATAATGCATTACCCGTTGTGAATTGACCAATGAAAATGCAAAATTACTAACGTAAATCATGCAGCCGTTGTCTGCCGCCAGACAGCCATGGCGCGCGTACTGTTCCTGGTAACCGCAAACTACCGTTAGATGATTGGTTTATATTGCTTGATTTATATTACGTGAATAAATTAATAAGTGATTAGTTTCACGAGATAGTAAAGGCCCTCGCGGCTTCGCCGCTCGTGCTAGTTTTTTTTACGTGCCAGCATCCAGGGTGCGTTACGTGTCCGGATGGTCCGGGTATAGGCGCGTGGGACTTGACTAAAGGCTACGAATGAGCTAGCAAAACTGCCAGTACATGTACAAGCAAATTATGGCGTATCTTATTTCATCTCTCTTCAGCAAAGTGTTGTTTTTTTAACTACGTCATTGATAGTGACCTTGCATGGTATTTACGATTAACAGTGGAATGTATCCGAGACATAATTTCATTCAGTCCTTTGACCACGGATCCTAGACACCAGGATAAACGACTGTTCTGAGCTCTAGCACAAAATGCACTGAGCGGACTTGTCTTAATTGGTTAGACGCGTGATAACGGGCATTAATACCCGTTGGCGCGTAATCGCGAATTTTCCAGATATGCCATTGTGTTGGGTTTTTGCATGACATCTAAAACGGAAATATGCATAAAACTGTAAGCAAAACTACTTCTTATTTAAGATATAATTGTTCTAAATTATTTAAGAAATAAATACTTCAGGATATAACAGATGGTATTGTGCAGTTTTTGTCGTCATACATATATGAAGTATTTACCCGGGAAATAAAAGTCAAATTTCGAGGAGAACACCGTTTACCCAAATTTCGTTTTTAATGAGGCTTTTATTAAAAAGTTTTAGAGAGATAGGATGCCGAACCGATGAAAGAAAAGCGACATTTCATTGTTCACCTTAAAGCTAAAGATATCGTGTTCGGAATTACCATGGTTATGTAGTTATCACTTATCAGAATTCAATAATAAAGACCAAAACGTAGACTCATGAATATTCAAAAATATAATTCGCTGGCTTGACAGACTTCGAGGCCAGATCGGGTGCAGAGCCTTGCAAATCTGAAAGCCACCACGCGCAGTGGTCTTTGTTGAATAGTATTCATGATATGTGCCACCACAGGCCGTTATCACGCGTCTAACCAGAAGTTGGGCCGAGTCGTTTAACCTGGTGTCTAGGATCTGTGCTTTGACTAATGATTTGGTATGCGTGTACAAACAAATACATTCTACGAGGTCAACAACTGCAGTATTAATTAATTCATATTTATTAATTCATTCATTTAGGGTGCAAAGGTGACCGTTGATTGTATAAAGTGATCATGCCGACTGGTAGAAAGACTTCGTTCAAAACATAAAACACCCAATTTCTGTAGGCCCTTTTTTGATTTTGAAAAATCTTTGTTGATACAAAATTTAGATTTTCATTGTACCCTGATATTGAATCTGTAGATTGGGCTACATGTACTTTTTCATCTACAAGAATTTTTCGTAGCTTTAAAAATACAAAAAGATGGTTTTAGACGTATCGAATAAAGGACAAAATGTCTTAGGGACCTTATGGACTTTATGCGTGTAAATATATGTTTTCATTTCTGAGACCAATGATGAATGCAACTTTGTTCAGAAACCATTTCGTGAAAAAAAGAAATCATTTTGAAATTACTACTTTTTCAAAATAAAAAGAAATAAGAAAACATAAGAAAGATATAAACTTGGCTTGATTCTTCAATGATCTTATTTTTTTTATTATTCTAGTTTATTCATGTAAAAACACGAGGTAGGCAGCCACAAAAGAGTCGCTGATATAACCACGTTTACACTTTATGAGAATTAAAAATGGTTACATAGCAGTTTAAAGGAGTAGAAGCATAAAATTACAAAAAAAGTATAGGGTCATATATATATACAGCACAAAACAGCACAATATAAAAAAATGATTTATAAACTTAAAAAAAAATCAAAATTGAAGACAGATCATTCAGGGAAGTTGGTTTAATAAAAAGTACTCACTTGCACCTACATTGTAAACAATTAAGAATTGCAAAAGTTTAGCTAAGACAGGAATTGTAGACTTCATGTATCTATCAGTTTTGCACTTAGGTACAACTAGCGTAGACGTGGAACTGTCTCTGAGTATTCTGGTAGTGGTGTTATTCAATTTAAGAGGGGGGAGCATATTTCTAAATCTGGGGGAATATAATATCATAGTTTGTGCCAAAGTTCTACAGTAAGGTGTCTCTCCTAGTTTCAAGGCTAGAAATACCTAGAACGTCCAAAGCATTGGAGTAACTGTGATACTGATGAGAGCCTAACATAATGCGACAAGCACGTTTTTGTACATTTTCAATTCAATAAGCCAGTTGTTTACTTATCGAGGTATACCAGACTTGGCTTGCATACTCTAAAACTCGTCTGATGTAGCATATGAAGACCGAAACTAAGTCAGCCAAGGGAGCGTCATATTTTTTTTCTAAAATACACAAGGTAAATAATCTTCTAGAGGCTCTAGAGACAATATCAGCAACATAATGTCCCATTTGAGATCACCCTGAATCGTGACTCCCAAAAGTTCCATGTGGTTGACCTTGTTTAGGGATTATGTCATTAAGAGTAAACATGGGGTTCGGGTGTAAACATGGAGTTCGGTATTTTGGGTGCGATTGGAAAAGAAGCCGCAGACAATTGGAATAATTGAACGTCTAACCCCAAGGTTTATACGTTTCTTGATAATAATATTAAGCTAAAGTTTATATGAATTGTCTTTATTGTTAAATGTTAGAAATAGTAAAATAAAATTAATAAAAGTAAAGTAAAAAAAATAGTGATAATAATAATTTAGATGTTATTTCATAATCAATTTTTTCGGAGCATAAATTAGCTTAATCCATGTGAGGCGCCATCATTTTTATTTAAATTGTAATCAACCACAGTACTGAACTTTTCAGTATGATGGGGCGTGGGTGTTACGATCTAACAGAAGCCCTTCAGTAGGCGTTATGATGATGAACATATTCCCTTCTCAGTGTTTAAATAGATGGATAGAGGTCCTCTTTGCTCATGAAAACAATTTTAAGCCAACAAAATTCAGTGTATACATGCCCAGATTACAATTTGGTCAGTTCCCATGCGAAAGAAATTCGCGTTTTATCTCTTTGTTTTTGCCTGGCCATCCCACCAGCCCACCACAACAGTCTGAAGCTATATGTATACAGCTAAAAAAAGAATGAGGACTACCTGTTTTCAGGTTCCAAGACTGGGTTTTTTGACGGGACAATTGATGGCCTTGTGATAACAGCAGCTATAGACCTTTCTGCGCTTGGTTGGCAAACTGCATTTTTGCCAACCACGGCCTGCAAAACTATGATATGTGTTTTTTTTTTCTCGAAAAGACACTGAAAAGAACTATTCTCTCCGATCTACTTGATTTTTAATTCAGAAAACGCTATTTGGCTATCTGGTCATTCTGAGCTAAACAATTAAAGACATTTGTAATTCGGACATCTGTAATTTACAGTGCTGTTAAACCCTCCTTCTCTTATGTTCTTTAAATATCAAAAGTAAATCAGCAAAGAACTAGTGTTTGGTAGCAGATCAAACTGTTAAATAATATATGCAATATAATAGTGCATAACGGAGTGATTATTAATATATTTTTTAATTTTTTTTAAGGGGGGGGGGGTGTTTCAATATATTCCGGTCGCAGAACCCCAACTAGAAACGTCAGTAGGGGTAGGTTTAGGTGGATGCACCCCCCCCCCCCCGTTCAGCAACTGTCGTATGTTACGATACTAGTAAACTGTGGCTACAAAATATAATGCTTAAGTCTCTAATTATATTCTTAAAGTGCCTTAGAATGCAGAAGAAAGCATCGTAGATGTATAATGTTTTGCGGTAAATTACATGTGTGCACCAAAATAAATAAATGTTTCACACGAAATGAATGAGCTCTGGACTGACAATTTTTGCAATCAAAGGGTAATTTTTATTATTAAATGGTAAATCGCTGGATCAAACAAGAAACCTTTCATTGCATAATTCCAGAAAAAAAAGCCTACGAGACCAGGCTTTCGGCTACGCTTTGAAGAGAAAAGTAACACAAAATCAAACTTTTAACGTAACCCTCTTTGTTCTTTGGAAAGTCTATTTCGTGATTGGGTTACTCTGGAAATTAGACATTGAGAAACGTTAATGCACAAACTTAATACAAAATATTTAAAGTTACAGGGCGAGTCAAATAAAGCGGAGCCCAAACCCCATAAAATAAATTTTATATTTGCAAAAATAGCACCAAAAATACTAATGACTGGAAAGCCAATTTTATACGCTACTTTTGGATGAAGAAAATTACTGAAACTGCTCATTTAAAGAAATTCACCATTTAAACACCAGGACCCTAGAACCGGTCTCGTCCCAAAAAAAGTCATTGTGTGTTTTGACTGTTTGGAACAACAAACAAAATGACACAGAATACTGTTTCAACAACTGTAGTACACAATATCTTTTAAACAACCATATACAAACAATATGATTTATAGAATCTACTCTTTTTTTTTAAAGGACGGGCCTTCAAAGGGATTCTGTTGAATTTTTTAACGTTTAAACTGAGATTTTATCGCTGGTGATGTTCGGAAATTGCGACGAAGATTCTTGAAATAGCATTTTCTTTTCATTTGACAATTTGAAACTAACCCTAACCCCTAGTGAAGCGAGTCCCTGCCGCTTCGGCGCTAGAGGGCGCTTTAAACAAGAACAATCCACAGTCGTATATATATGGAGAGAGTTGCGAAAACTTCGGTAGCATAAAATGGTACGACAGTAGAGCGCGTAATGAATATGCATGACTATGACGTCACTAGAAGCTCATGAGTAATATATCACAGTAGAAAGAGGACTTGTTAAATGTGATATCATCGGTAAAAAGGGACGACACTAGAGGGTTGCGGCGCGACAGTAGAAAGAGGACTTGTTAAATGTATCATCATCGGTAAGTGGGACGACACTAGAGGGAGGCGGCGCGACAGTAGAAAGAGGACTTGTTAAATGTGATATCATCGGTAAGTGGGACGACACTAGAGGGTGGCGGCGCGACAGTAGAAAGAGGACTTGTTAAATGTGATATCATCGGTATTAATGGATGCAGCACATACAGTGTGCATCCATATATCTATCAGTACCGTGCGTGATATATTACTCATGAGCTTCTAGTGACGTCAAAGTCATGCATATTCATTACGCGCTCTACTGTCGTACCATTTTATGCTACCGAAAACTTCAGACGGACTGTTGAACCATAATGGCCGTATGTGTATTTCATGATATGTACGTGCGCCGTTTTGATGGTGCTCTATGGTTAAGGGGTGTAAGTATTATGATGTACAGGTGTATCATGAACAGCGCCCTCTAGTGTCATGTAGTACCCCGTACCACCCCCCCCCCCCCCCCCCCCCCCCCCCCCCCCCCCCCCCCCCCACCCCCATCCCCGGCAACCACCTCTGGCTTTTCGAATTTCCACAACCGGGAAATTTGGTGATTTCAGTCATCCCCATCCTCCCAGTCCCCGGCACATATATACGCCATTTTATTATAGCTATTCCTCACGAAACCATAGTTGTTTGATGTCAGAAAATAGACGGACATAAAACAGCCGCCGGGAAAATGCACCTGTATTCCAAAAGAGGGCGCTATTGTATTATTACTCCTTAGCGACCACGTAAACGCACACTTCGAATGTGTACACTCTGTGCTTACAAATCACCGAGAAATCTCAGTTTTATGCCTCATTCTGAGAACCCATTTTCCTGTGCCAGACAATAGAAATATCCTTTGAGTGTTGTACCGCCGGTGACTAGACATGGCAGTGCCGTTCTCCAACACAAAGCTGCGAGTTCCGAGAGGGTTCCAAAATCTCCTGGAGGGTCTCGCCAGGGAAACGCTGCGTAACCAGCCGGAGAACATCTACGCGTACGCGGCGGCCTATTTTGAGAATCTGCTCAAAATCCGCGAAGGTAAAATCAGCAGTACAGTAGTCAGGTAGACTTGTGCATCCAAAACAAAATATATAAATGCTTGTGCTGTTCAAGATCGGATCCAGAATAGTCCGAGTAACTTGGACCCAACTTATCGCCTTTTAAAAATTTGGACATGGTCTGGCGATAGTAGGGTCCAAGCCCATTCCTCGACCTAGACAACACAGTCACTGACAGTCCCAAAAACCAACATTTTCCAACAAAAAACATCAGATTTCACCTTCAAAACGGCCTCCAAATTACTAGGTATGCCACCTGAGGTACAAGTAGACATCGATAATTAAGATAGTTGTACTGAAGTTTACTTACGATCCGGAAAAAAGTGAAATTTTCCGTTCATTTCGGAGAGCTCCCCTCGCGATCTTGAACACGTTAAATTTGCGATCGTGTTTAAAGTTTGAACGACGCGATTTCTTCTACATGCCCAGCGTACATTCGATGGTCCCCGTATCCCGTATGCGATTCCGTTACCGAGCGCGCGCGATGCATCGATTATGATAATGATCACGTTTGTAAACACATACATGTACATGTGCATTTCGAACTGTAAAAGGGAATCGGGAACCAGCTTGAACTGGTACCCGCTATAAAAGCTGCGCTAGTTCCGGACTCCCTATTATCGTTTGAAATGCACATGTGTTTACAAACGTGATCCAGTCTACTCATTATCATAATCGATGCATCGCGCGCGCTCGGTAACGGAATCACACTCGGGATACGGGGACCATCGAATGTACGCTGGGCATGTAGAAGAAATCGCGTCGTTCAAACTTTAAACACGATCGCAAATTTAACGTGTTCAAGATCGCGAGGGGAGCTCTCCGAAATGAACGGAAAATTTCACTTTTTTTCCGGATCGTAAGTAAACTTCAGTACAACCATCTTAATTATCGATGTCTACTTGTACCTCAGGTGGCATATCTAGTAATTTGGAGGCCGTTTTGAAGGTGAAATCTGATGTTTTTTGTTGGAAAATGTTGGTTTTTGGGACTGTCAGTGACTGTGTTGTCTAGGTCTCGGAATGGGCTTGGACCCTACTATCGCCAGACCATGTCCAAATTTTTAAAAAGGCGATAAGTTGGGTCCAAGTTACTCGGACTAGATCCAGAACACAATTTTTTGGGGGGCCAATTATTCTTTTTGCCTTTTTATTTTGGTTCCCAGAAAATGTGGGTGCTAAAATTTTCCACCCAAAAAATTTAAAGCACCCTAGGCCTAGACCATGTAGGCCTAGACCTGCATTGGTAACGTGGCTATATAGTCGTGTTCCCTAACGTGGCACACTTCAAAGCCTACCCGACTTTCTTCGTGTAGTGTTGCCAAACCTCTTTGTTGACAAACCTCAAATTCATGCAGTAAAACACTAGTACTTTTACCTTATTAATGCTTGCTATTTAACCTCTGTGAACAATTTCAGTTTCATTAAATTTAATCCGAAATTCAAAAACGGTGGTGTCCGGAAATTGGGCACAAATTGGCGGAGTGTTCCCTAACGTGGCGCACTTGAATAAATCTAGGAAAATTCCAATTTAACATTTAAGAATTTCTGTAAACTTGATAAATTCTTATAAACATTTATTATCTCTACTTACATGCCCAGCCAGATGTTTGGTAGAAAAGTATTTTCTTATTTTTTGGGGCATTTTTAATGCTCTTTTTAATATGCTCGTTAAATTTCTGGACTGTACATGTATGATGTAGGCCTAAAGTGGAAGGTCTCCAACCAGGATTTACAACACGTCGAAAGTCCAGAGAATAGGCCCTATTAATAAATGAACCATGGCTATGTATAGTCACGTGTACAGCCCTCGAGTTCGGGGGGGGGGGGGGGGGCACATAGCCCCACTTGGCACAGGCATGCGATGATATTGCTGCGCTATAACATCATCCAATCAATGGGCCTAAGTGAGGTTGTGGCCATCCTAACTGTAGTTAAGACTGATGCAACAGTTGGGAAGTGCAGTCAGACAAAAGTTTAAGTTACGTTATTCCTTTTTTGTATTGCCTTCCAGAGCAAGGTATCGACCCAGCAGACATTGGGGCCAGACATGAGGACCGCTACTACAACAATCAAAGCTTCAAAATGGTAGGCTGATCTGTTTGGCTCATCCTCGCCGTACGTCGTAAAACTGTTCCCTGACAAACCGAGTCCATATCTTTCCTGTTTTGACCTTGTCTTGGCCCGACAAAAATGCAAGACGTCAGTGATCAAGACAATGGTTGCATTGTTGTGTAACGCCCTTACATAATTGTTTTTTTACTTTCTCGCACTTTTATTACGTCTTGGTCATTTCAGAACAATGGGGAGGGGCCATTTTATGTAAAAGACCGTCTGAATAAATTTGTAACAACACTTTCCTATTTATAGCTCCATACATGTACTTGATCACCGCATGTATGACGGGAATGTTTACAACCATCAGGTGAACCATTGAACCTTTTCTCGATCACTGATTGGTTCCCTAGGAAAGCGATGATGCTTGATCACGTACAGTAGGGGCTGTTACAACCTTTGGGTGTGAGCCATTGAACCTTTTCTCGATCATTGTATGGTTCCCTGGCTCCAGGCGCCGTTCTAGAACCAATAGTTTTTGGGGGCTAGCAGGGTGGATCCATAATTTTTTTCAGGGAGGTGTGCTGAAATGTAGACCGGTTATTTTCCCCAGACACTTAGGCCTCCGAAAATCAATAGGTGGGGGTGGGGGGGGGGGGGGGGGGGGGGGGGCTCATGCCATATTTTCAATGGGGAGCGCCAATAAAATCCTAAAATCATTCACACTATATTAACTACAAATGCTACCTTGTCACGACTATTTCTTTAGGGGGGGATTGTTCGCATGTACATCACAATCCTTCTTTTTGCTAATGCAATTTCTTTTTACGGAATTTATTTTGGGGGGGCTAGACAAAATTGTCTAATTGTTGTGCCAATTGAGGGTGCACTATGCACCGTCCACTATTGCCCTTTTTATGTAGTTTTCATGATTCGTGTCTACATGCAATTAGTCAGGTCTCTGTGCCAACTGCGAAAGTGACTTTGTTATATATCATAGAGCTATATTAAATTACTAGAGCGCTGACTCGATGTACAAAGTAATGCCTGATGGGCGCATCCAAGTTTGTGCACAAACCTGCGGAAAACTGGAAATTTTTTACGGCTTTGTACGGCTATTTGCATATCTGTGTTTGTATTCCATACCGGTGCGTCATCAAAGCCGATACGCCCAAAACCGAAACGTACAATCAGCAAATGAGCGTTTCATTTTGCTCTACGCAAACAGCGCAACGTGTGCGCGTCCTTCCTCTGCAGATGCTTTTCGCCGTGACGTTTTTTTGAACCATCATGATGCGCTTAAGTTGATTGCATATCTTCTACTTGCGCGTTGCATTTAGAGCACACTTTTAAAATTCAATACATCCATTTTGATTATGTTCTACAAACACGCACATAAATTCAAAATGTCTGCGCCCAGAGTGGCTTCAAAGCGTCTCCGCGCGCAAGAATGAAGAGGTAGCGCTCCAGTAATTTAATATAGCTCTATGTTATATATCCATCAAGTTACCACTACGTGGTTTTTCGTAATTTTTGAATCACCCGAAGAGACTGTTTGTCATGTACTCTGGAACAAGCATTACAAGGCTTGCCGTGACTCGTTATATATTTATACCCAGGGTGCCAAGGCCAACATAGGCGACATCAGCGACCCGCAGCAGCAGGCCGCCGCCGTCACCCTCCAGAGCTCCGTCCGAGGTCACCAGGACAGGCAGGCAGTAGAGGGCGACAAACAGACAGTAGAGGGCGACAAAGAGCCGGGCAGGACAGACGAAGAAGCAGCCGCCCTCAGGATACAGACCAGCTTCCGGGGGTATGAGGCCAGAAAGCGTGTGAATGCTCTGAAGTGCGTAACTAATACACTCCTTTCTCTTTCTCCTGCATTTCTCATCCTAAGGGCCATGTCGCACGAGGAAATCTCCAAGAAGAAAATGGCAGGCAAATTATACTTGCCTGTATTGTTCTGAGGAATTTCCATAAATCATTGGGAAAAATGTGGTTTGTTCGTCCGGGGTTCGGTTAAGTCTGAGGGGGAGTGGTTGCCTCCAGGCTGCTTGTGAAAATAATTGTCTCGTGTGACTTGGTCCTATAATTCCCAGGGTTAAATGTTGTAGGAACCTTCCCAAATCCTCCAGAATCCATCAAATTCCACCACTGGTCATGCAGGTATCAATGGCAGATACTTTGAATTCGCATTCCATTTTTTTTTTAACCCAGTGGATTCTGCAGGATTTGGGAGGGTATTGGGTTGGCTAAAGCAATCAGAAATGATTGTGTTTACTTTTGTGTAGGTTAGAAAAAGTCGAATTTTGAGCATGGGCATGCGCGATTCTCTGCACTGGCTCATTAAATGGAGGGTTCAAACCTATCTGTGCCCATGACTGTACAAATCAGCCCGATTGTGTGCTAAGGTATTAAAACAAGATAAGGCAAAAAAAAAAAATATTCGGTCTCTGGTCAGACCAAAGTTCCGGAATTGACGCGGCCACGTGGCTTTTTTTTTTTTTCTTTTTTTTTTTTCTTCAAGCTTGGATTGTACAGACAAGGTGGGGTACTATTTTGCTTTTTTGGTGTCCTCATGTACATTGGTGTCCTCCATAATTTGCCTTGGTGCTTTCGATCATTTGCCTTGGTGCAATTTCCCATTCCTTGGTGCTCTTTGGTAAAAAAAAATTGAGGAGGTGCGGAAATAGAGGGCGCTGTTGGAGCTACCGCGGAACATTTTGGGGAAAAAAAAGATCGACGTGCATGATTAAAATCGACGCGCGCGCTGACCAGAGACCGACTTATTTTTTTTGGCCTAAGTTTGCGGTAGCACCATGTGAATAAATCTCTTTGTGAGTATGTGTGGTTTTTAAAAGAACCAGAGGGACTCAACGTTTCGAACAGTATGCTCTGCCCGTCGTCAGGAGAATGAGGGATTCCAGGTCCTCAGGTGAATTTGTGTACAAACCTTATGGGAGCTGTCAAGAAAAAGTTAAAGTACAAACAAAAAGGGAACAAACGAAGCAGGGATCAGGTCCTCATGAGTATAGTAAAAACGAGCTGGGTGTACATGTACATGTACATACATGTACATCTTTTATGTACATGTACCTGCATGTTCGAGAAGTTCCCCTGAAAAGTTTACATTGAACTCGTGTGCATACATGTACATTATTAGTTGTCCTGCGAGTGCTTGTGGAACACGGAATAATGTAGTGCGTCTGTGTCCCACATAAGGCCTCGTGGTATGTGGGACACAGACGCACTACATTTTCCGTGTTCCGCAAGCGTTATAACGAATTTATCTTCAAGCAAACTTGACGCATTAAAACGCGCGCAGTGCACAAACTTTTCAGCTGTTATCCTATTAGGCACAAAAAAAAAAGTCTCCGGTTTCTGGTATGCGCGCGCGTCGCCGTAGCCGTGCGCGTCGGCAAAATGAAAAAGTTTTTTTTCCAATGAAAGATGATGTCTCAAAACCGCCAAACTCACTGGTTTGACTGGAATCCTGCTGCTGCACAATTTTAACGTGTTTTTAGATTGGGTTATGGTCGAGAATAAGCTTTATGTGGCCTCTCTGGTCTCCCATAATCAGATAATATTTGCACTAAGTTTAGTCGGGCACCATTTGCAGTCATCAGCCAACATTTGAAGCAAAGCTCCATACCAGAATCCGGATACTTTTTTTTTGTGGCCTTACACATGCGTGTTTGTACGAAATGGCGCGCGCATCTTGAAATAGCGTGATACGCAGAGTGCCGTATGGCCGTGCTAAATGGTTATGTGTACCACGGCTTGATGCCATGGATCGACCAATCAGGATCGAGGATACATTTGAACCCTTCAGCAAAGTTCTAGCGATTCTTTGTTTGAATTCTTTTACCATTCCAAACTTTTTTTTATCAATGTTTCATGGTTTTCCTGTTTTTCCAATTGGACCTGGGCTACTGCAGCTCTTACACACTTTTTGCCGTGTTGGAGCTCATGCACTAGTGTGCTGTTGAACTAATATATGCAAACTTGTCTCACTGTGTGGTGCTTTTATAGCGCTTTCCACCATTCATACTAGTCCGACTAACTAGGACTCTAGGGATCGCTTTTTAACATTTGGACATGTTAAAAAAGCGATCCGTAGAGTCCTACCGTAGTTACTCGGACTACATTCGTAAGTCTCAATGTGTTTCACAATTATGACCCAGTTCCACAGGCCATGGGACGCTTTTCTGCAGCCGAGATCAACGCAATCTGGTCTCTTTATACATGTACTCCTTGAGGCAGGGAGGCAATTAAAGTAAAGTGTCTTGCCCAAGGACATCGGCATGCATGTTCCCCATTACAGTTCAAACCCACCTTCCAATTGGCACATTGGTCGAACACAGTTGGACCACATACATGACATACATGCTTGCGAAGTACATGTACACGTGTATGCAGCATTTGTGTACAGTGAGGAAATTTGATTAGTCATAATTAATTCATTGAGACATGTTAAGAAACTTTTTCCATTAACGATGTCACATGAAAATCCAACTCCTATGAAAATCGGACCCCTATTTCCCTATAGACCGCTTGCAGACGCGTTCGATAATCGACGCGCGAAGGCGCGCGACGCCATGTTGTGGGACAGGCGTATATCAATTCACGCACATTTTGTCCCATAACATGGCGTCGCTCACCTTAGCGCGTCAATTATCGAACGCGTCTGCAAGCGGTCTATATTATTGGTTGATCCCTCGCACGTGACAGGTCACTCTCCCGAAACGATCCTAAAAATAGCATAGTATCGTACTCACGCATGCGCAGTACTACCAATGAGTCCACATTTCATGGAGTCGGATATTCACGCTACACCGGTACTCTCATTATTTGCCTGAATAGTCACCCTTTGCAAGTCTGTTCAGTTGCCCAACAGAGGGCGCTGTTCATGCCCTCTTGCAATCCATATATTGTACTGGTGTGGATAATATATATTAACGGTACATTTTCCCATACATGTGTACACACATGTATACTATGTACACATCACATGCACACACAAAAAACCATATACTGGAGAATACATTTAGGTAAATGTGGATGAATCTCGGATCTCTTTGTTCAATGTCACATTAAAAAGTGTTCACTTTTGTATTGCCTTCAATTAATTTAAAAACAAAATCTATCTTTCGTTATGAAACTCGAAAATAGCATCGGGAGCAAGTTTAACTCCGTACTGTGGAAATATACAGGTGTATTGCTCAAATTAGCAGCCACTTTTAAAATGGACATTATTCCTACAAACTACCCTTTCATTACTAATTAATTCAATCAAAGTCCATAAAGCAAATTATAGTGTAATTGAGCATGTAAAGTGCTTTCACTATAAAACATTTTATGGGCACTTAAAAAACCTATCATCACTGTACCAAAGAACCACAGACAGGTGGTAAGAATTCCCCTCCCCCCTCCTCCCTTTGACTGTCACTCCTTTGAATTATAGATGAAGGAAATTTGACACGCTCTTTTGACTGAATAATGGCCCTAATGTGCATCAATTGAAGCTTTTGGCGATCTGTGAAATCTGCCACATTGTACTGGATTGATGACTAGAAAGTTAAACAATTTTTTTTTAGATACCCAAGATAACTGAGAGTGCGGGGTTGTCACTTTCAGGAGAGGGGGGGGGGGATGTTCATTAAAAATTATTATAATTTTTCAAGATCTTTAATTTTTTTTTTCCTGAAGAATTGCATTCATTCAGGCCTTATACAGGTTTGAGTATTTTTCCTGAATGAGCAATTTTTGGAAGATTTTGGAATTTCTTTATATACAAGTGTGGGGAATTTTGAAAAGATTTCAGACATTTTGTTATTCCAAAAGAAAGAAAATCGCTACATAGTCCCTCATGCTCATCCGGAGCCACACTGGATTAGACTTTGTCAATTTTAAGTATATGTGATGAAACTGAGAATGACATCTGACATGTCTGATTCTAATCTAAATGAAAAAGAAGGAAAAAAGGAAATAATAAATAAATAAAAAAGGTTAGTCGCTGTAGCACCCGACATGCCCGAGACCACCCTGCCTATTACTCACTGAACTGCCCTTAAGCACTCGATGGTTGTATTAATTCTTCAGTGAATTTAACACAATGTAATACAATGTAGTACAGATGCTAATTAATAATGGGTTAAAATCTTTCATGAAATTTAGATTTTTTTTTTTTTATTATAAATATCAAAATTCAAGTGGAGTAAAATTAACATTTTAATTCAAATAATGAAAGAGAGGTATTACATTTTTAATTTGAGTTGCCCGAGATAACGAGGCTGCCCACACCGAAAGACCAAGGGCCACCCCATGATATAAAACAACGTCATCGCTCCCCGATTAACCCTCCATCACAGATGACAGCCCTCCATTCCAGTACTGAGAAAACTCCCATGATTTAATTATAGTCTCCCTCCCAGCCCTAATCTGACCTTGTCCATTGATAGTATTTTGTTTTCCAGATTATTTCTTGGTGGGTTTTTTTCTGTTAAGCACGTACATGTTTCGTCTTTGTTTTCTTGGCTTCGGTTGTTCCTACACTGATGACGTTTTTTTTTTTCATGCATGATAATTGGACAATTGAAAAAAAAATTAAAGAATAATGGATCTGTCTGGCCGTTATATTATGAAAAATTTTGTCTAGCTCTAGGAGACTCTTTTACCTTGGCTGAACATCATCAAGTACGCTTGTCGTAAAATTGGGCAAAAGCTTTGTTTTGGGATGAGCATCTATAAAACTCCATAGCTCCTCTCTTGTGGGTGAAAACCAAAAAGCTGTAAAGTACTGCGAGCAAGCTCATTAATATTTTGTGATCCCACAGGTAATGTAAT